AGCAGACATGAGTGGAGAGACAATATCTGGCGAGGTTTCCAGTCATTGGCCAGGCCAAATACTTCTGGGCCCTAATGTCCCCCGGAGCTGTCTTTAAAAAGCCCTCCTACTTTGCCATCTTTAACCCTTTTCTCTGTAAAATGATACAAATGACTTCCCAGCTTGTCCTTTTACCCCCGCAACAGCGTGAGACCTGATTGACCCATTTGGGGATGACCAGTCATTAAGGGCTCAGAGCAGCCATGGAAATCTCTCAGAGGTCAAGGTGGGGGTCTGGAAACAGCCCCCTGGGAGACACAGCCAGCCATGGCCTTGCTGTCGCGACCACGCCAGTAAGCTCTGCAACACTCTCGAGGAAACAGTGGGGGAAAAATCTGATTAAGCACTGCTCTATTTTAATACTTAATACTACGAAAGGAAAGTCTGACTGCTTCCAAACATTCTAGCAGCTTTAATGGAGTGTGGCCTAAAATCTAATCTAATGAATGGCCTTGCATTTTTTTTTTCATCAGGCCATCTTTAGAACGGACCTTTATTTAAATCAGCTCACACTTACAGAGGCAAAAAGGATATATTCCCTCTTGCTCTGCATTTACGCGTTTCCAGAAATGTTCTCTCTCCAATGCTTAGGAGAAATGTCTGCTAGCAGGAAGAGAGGGAGAAAGCAAAGGAGGGAGGAAAAGAGGAGAAGGGGAAGGAGGGAAGAGGGGAGGGGGTAGAGAAGGGGGTGTGAGGGAGGGCAGGAAGAACACCAGGCTGACCACTGCCCTGGCTGCTGCTTCCAGAAGCAATCACGGGCATTCGTCACAGTTCCCACTAAATGAAGGTCCGTCTTACCGGCTGTTTGCTCTGCTCCTGTACACTTAATTGTGTGGCCTTGACTATGATAGAATTTGTTCCTTAAGGAGAAGAGAAAACGCGAGCCTCAGGCTTTAATAGGAAGGTGCCTTTCTGAAGTAATAAATGACCCAGAGGCTGGATTTGGCATCAGGGGAGGCCACTTCCTGTGTTCTCCCCCAAGGAGTCAGGCGCAGCTGAGATCATTAGTGAGCAGGGAGTTGGGAGGAAGCTGGCGTGAAGGCAGAGGCTGGGAAGGAAAGTGTGAGATGATGTCATGGAGGGGAGAAGCGGGCCTGCTGCTGGTCCCTCTGCTCATCACAGCTGGCCTGTCCCTCGCTTCAAACAGTACGCCTTGGATAGAGGCCTGCAGTTCTTCAGTCACTGGGCAGATTCACTTTTTTTTTTTTTTTTGGACAGGCATAGTTAGACAGTGAGAGAGAGAGAGAGACAGAGAGAAAGGTCTTCCTTCTGTTGGTTCACCCCCCAAATGGCTGCTATGGCTGGCGCGCTGCACCAATGCGAAGCCAGGAGCCAGGTGCTTCCTCCTGGTCTCCCATGCACGTACAGGGCCCAAGTACTTGGGCCATTCTCCACTGCCTTCCTGGGCCACAGCAGAGAGCTGGACTGGAACAGGAGCAACCAGGACAGAATCAGGCACCCCGACCGGGACTAGAACCCAGGGTGCCGGCGCCACAGGCGGAGGATTAGCCAAGTGAGCTGTGGCGCCAGCCCAGATTCACTATTAAAAACCTTTTGGGGCCGGCTCTGTGGTGTAGCAGGTAAAGCCCCTGCCTGCAGTGCTGGCATCCCATGTGGGCACTGGTTCGAGTCCTGGCTGCTCCACTTCCGATCCAGCTCTCTGCTATGGCCTGGGAAAGCAGTAGAGGATGGCTCAAGTCCTTGGACCCCTGCACCCATGTGGGAGACCCGGAAGAAGCTCCTGGCTCCTGGCTTTGGATCGGCATAGCTCCATCCACTGCAGCCATCTGGGGAGTGAACCCGTGGATGGAAGACCTCTCTGTCTCTCTCTGCTTCTGCCTCTCTGTAACTCTGCCTTTCAAATAAAAATAAATAAATAAAATAAATGTTTTTTTTTTTTAATCTTTCAGAGCTTTTGCCGGGGAGCTTCCCAGTGACAGCTTGAGGGATTCTCAAAGGGGAGAGACTAAATTTGGACTTGCAGGGATATCTTTGTGAACTTACTCTGCAAAGAGAAACCCTCCAAGCCCAAGAGAAAGCTGTGTGCCTGTTGCCAGGTCAGGCCTCTGTGACTGGCTCCCAGGCATGAGCCTCAGCTCAGGGAGCAGCCAGCAGAGGTAAATAGCGGATATGTGTCCCTGGCCAGATTTTCTTGTTCTCATGGTATACAAAGGACCAGACTGCAATCCCCTCCAAATTCCGATTTGGGCATCCAAGGGAGTGTGGCCCAGAAGGGTCTCCCTGAAATCCACCCTCTGAGCATGAGGACAATGGAAAGAGCTTGCAGAGGCCATAATAATGATGTCTTCTATTTCTTTTCATAATTTTTTAAAAACAACTTATTTGAAAGGCATAGTTACAGAGAAGGAGAGGCAGAGGCAGAGGGAGAGAAGTCTTCCATCCACTGGTTCACTCCTCAAATGACCTCAGTGGCTGGGACTGGATTCTGGAACTCCATCCCAATCTCCCACATGGGTGGCAGTGGCCCAAGCACTTGGGCCATCTTCCACTGCTTTCCCAGGCACATTAGCAGGGATCTAGATGGAAGTAGAGCAGCCAGGAGTCTAACTGGGGATCACAGGGGATGTTGGCATCGTGGGCTTAATGCACAGTTCCACAAAACCACCCCAGTGTCTTCTATTTCTATCCAGCTAAAGCCTTTTCATCTGCCTGCTTTCTTTTTTTTTTATTTAATAAATGTGAATTTACAAAGTGCAACTTTTGTATTGTTGTGGCTCCCCCCCCAACCTCCCTCCCTCCCGTGGCCCTCCCCTCTCCCACTCCCTCTCCCATCCCGCCCTTCATCACGTTTCATTTTCAATTACCTTCATATACAGAAGATCAACTTAGTATATACTAAGTAAAAATTTCAACAGGCTGCCCTCACACAACTGCACAAGGTATAGGGTATTGTTCGACTAGTAGTGTTGTCTTTAAGTTTCACAGTAAAACACATTAAGGACAGAGATCCTACGTGGGGAGCATGTACCCAGTGACTCCCATTGTTGATTTAACAATTCTGCCTACTTTCTTTATCTAGATAGAATAAAAATCCTGTCCCCTTGTTATCATCCTTCCCGTTTCACACATGAATAAAGCCAAGTCTCAGACAGAATAGGTGGCTGCTCCAAGAGAGTAAGTGGCAGAGCTAAGACACACTGATCCCCTGACCCCAAGCCCAGTTATCCCGGGGTCAGAGTGGGTCTGCTTAAGCAGTGAAGAAAGTTCTTCCAGTCTAAACAATAAATCCATAATGGACCCAAGATGGTGCTAAGGATTCCCACTGTTTAATATCCCTTTATGTTGTAGACTGGACTGTCCAGTGCCTTCTCTGGACACAGGTGGCAAATTAGACAGCTGTCCCCTAGCCCTAAGGCATATGGCACTAGTTTCTTGGACCCCCGTGGCCTGGCAGGTGGAGGACCGTGAGCGCACAGCAGAACTCTCAGGAAGCATGGGAAGCTCCTGATACCAGGAGCAGAGCAAGAAGATGAAGGCAAAGATGAGGGGGCAGGGGAGCAAAGACACACAGACACTGTCTGCTCCAAGAGAGAGCCTCCTGATTGTGAGGGGCTGCAGGAGGCAACACAATCTCAACTTTGCCCTCCTCTAAATGAGCCTGATACAGGCCCAAACTGGACCGAAGGAAGAAGACTGCTGGGGGGTGGAGGGACGGTGTTACCATGACCAACTTTCCCCTCCCAAGGCCTCTGGACTGTAATCTAAAAATCTCCAACAATACCCTTTCCTCTGAGTTTGCAAGACCAGCAGATTTCCAGCTGAGAGGGGTCATGCTGCAGAGCCAGGACTTGCAGAAGAGCGATTTGTGCAATCAGCTCCCCAGGACTCAGACAATGAACAGTTTGCTCCCTCTTTGGCTCAGTCCACCAGCACTGGCACAAAGCTGGTGGGTCTGCAGTGCTATCAAGATAGGGACACCAGGCTGCCATAGAAAGAGCACTGGCTCCAGGCACTGCAGCAGGTGAAGCCACGGCCTGAGACTCCGGCATCCCATATGGATGCCAGTCCAAGTCCCGGCTGCCTCACTTCCCATCTAGCTCCCTGCTAATGGCCTGAGAAAAGCAGCAGAAGATGGCCCAAGTGTTTGGGCCCCTGTTTTGAGCTCCTGGCTCCTAGCTTCAGCCTGGCCTAGCCCAGCCATTGTGGCCATCTGGAAAGTGAACAAGCAGATAGAAGATCTCTCTCTCTCTCTCCATCTCTCTGGCTTTCATATAAATAAATAAACCTTTGAGAGAGAGAGAGAGAGAGAGAGAGAGCGCGAGCGAGCTAGTTCCAGTTTTGGACAGGGGAAGAAATTACCAAGAACTATGAAGTTCCCAGTACATACGATGTTCTGTGCCAGGCCCTGGAAACACAATATTTCACCCTCCCAACACATCTAGATGTTGGGCATGATTATCCTCACTTGATGGTTGAAGCAGCTGAGGCCAAAAGCCAGCACAGCTGTGAGGCAACAATGACAGAATTCAAACAAGCTGGCTGTAGTTGCTGTTTTCATGACACTAAGTAGCTTCAGTGCGTTTCATGGGATTATTTCAAGAATTAAATGGAACAGTGTTAGTAACACCTTGGATAAATCCAAAGTGCCATGCACATATTAGCTCTACGTGGGCACAGGCATGTACAAACCACACTCACACACAAGCAAGTGCTCAGATCTACAATTCCTAGTGAAGAATAGCCATGTGAATTAGTATCAGTGGCATTGCTCTCCACAAAGCAAATATCTGTACCTTACACAATTCCCCTGTGAACCCCATCATCACCATGGCCATTAAGTGTGGTCCCCAGATGAAGTATGAGCATGCTGGTCAAAAATGGATATTCACAGCCTGAAAGCACTTTATGATTATCAAGGGACAAAAAATGAATTAGAATCACACCCTGCTAAGTGCCACAGAAGTATTTTCAAATTAGCTTCGTTTCTGCTCTCTCCCCAGTCCCTGGCATGCGGATTGTACCTGCTGACATGTCCCCCAGGAAAACTAATATGTTCAAATTGGACCCAAGACAGATGATTACAGTTTACTTTCCATACCAGTGACAACAGAAGCAGACCAGCTTTGCCAAAACAGGAAAATGCTATGGACTCTCTCCCTGTCTTAATGAAATGTGTGCCTCTTCAGTAAGTCATTTCTAACATTTATACATTTCTAGCAAGAAGGAGACTAGTGTGAGGTAAGTAATGGATCTAGAATACAAAATTTAAGAAAGAATTCATTCCCTGCATCACACAGTTGCCAACTCCATACTCGCATGTCCCTGACAGTGGGTGCTTCCTTAAATTTTGCACTCGTGGAGCAAGTGTTTAGCCCAGCAGTTAAGATGACCATGTCCCATATCACAGAATGTGGATTTGATCCCCAGCTCACTCTCCTGGGAGACAAGTGATAGATCTGCTAAAGTGATGGATCTCCTTCCTGCCACCCACATGGAAGCTCTGCATTTGAGTTCCTAGTTCCTGGCTTCAGCCCAATCCAGTCCTGGCCATTCTGAGAATTTGAGGAGAAAACCAGTGCATAAGAGCTGCCTGTTTCCATTTATCTGTCCCTCCATCTTATCTCTATGTCTCTCTATCACTCAAATACTTTTTTAAAAATTTGTCACATCCTTGGCATTTTACTTGCCTCACTCTAAACTAGGTCTTGGATTTCCTAGTAGCAGCACTGGCACCTGCCATGGGAGAGCATAGGGCTCTCTTGCAAGAGGGTAGCTGTCCTGAAGAATGTCAGATAAGCCTCTATGCTTCCAGTGATATATGTTTCCTAGACTACAAGGCAAGAGAAACTAATATATGGAAATGCACAAGGGCCGGACAATGCCATCATTTGGAAAGCATGATAGTCACCCCTCTCCTCAGCTTCCCACCCTTCCATTGCCCCAATGTCTGTGCCACAGGGGAGAAGTAGAAGAAGAAGGGATGGTAACAGAGCTGACCTTACCTCCACCCCAGCTCTGAGCACCAAGGTACCTTAGAGGAGGGAGTGAGGGTGTGGCAAAGGACTTTGCAGCATGCCCAACTTCAACCCTACTCTGTTAGAAACCCCAGCCTAATTGCAACAGAAAACCATAGGTTAGAATTGTAGTAATGCAGTTCATGAACTCGGGAAATGATCAGACATGGGTCCAAGTTAGATGGGAACGCTTTCTACACCACTCCCATGTAGAATGTGTTGCCCTATCTCCTCATTGTAGGGAACAGAAGTGAAGAAATGTTTCAGGGTTTGAATGATCCAAATCACACATATGCAAATAGAATCAAAGGGGTACAAATAAACATCCACACAGGCTCTAAAGACTTCAGATGGTGTGAACCACTGGGCATAAATTGCATACTGAAATCTACAGAGCCTAGTAATGACTGAGTCTGTCAGTGATGCCCTGCAAAACTGGAGTCAGGGTTCCCAGGAATCCCAGTAACACAGTGAGATTGGGTTCCTCCTTCCTCCTGCCAACTCACGGGATTGGGGATCTACTTCCCCAGCTCCAAAGTGATGGTTCCTGGGATAAGGCTGAGAAGGAATGGAAAGTCCAAAACAGGAATACTATGGGCCAAGGGTACAGCAGATACTGCGGCTACTGCGGGTACTCTCACAAATTCTGGGCAAGCAGCCTACTCACTCTCTGTAATTCTCCAAACTCCAAGGAGTAGCTGTTTCCACTGCTATCACCTGTAGTTTCCAAACAAGATCTCTGCCCTAGCAGGTCCACTGAGAAAGAGGCCAAGGACAAACAGTACTTAGGGGTGTGACCTCAGCAAAGTCAGTTAGCCTTTCTCATCCTCCATGTTTCCACCTGTAAGAAAGGCACCGAAGCCCACCACAAGGCTTGGGGCTCAGTAAGTATTAGCTGCCATCTCTCACCCTCATGGTGAAAATCGGGATTTCTGTTTTGCTTAGAGACATATTTCAAGCACGAAGCCAAGGGCTTAGCTCAAAACCTGGTTGTGATAAATCCATTCCTTCTGTTCCCTACCAGCCTCCTTCAGCAGATCCACACAAACACACTATTTTCTTCAACTGGTCCAGGCACACTTTAGGCCGAAGCAGTCTCTGTGTTCTAAAAGGGTGAAGACATTGCCAAGATTTAAAATTCCCTGAGTATTTCATCCCAAGACCTCAGCCTGGGGCAGAGATGGAGCCCTGGAGAGAGAAAAAAAAAAAAGGACCTGGGAACCTTGAAGGAGAAAGGATGAAAACCCAGGAGACATTCAGCCTGGAGCTGCCTCGAGGAGGGTAGAAAGGGAGCCGGTCCTCTCCCTGCGCCTTCTCCCCTCTACACCACACTCTGCACTGGATGACAGGAGACTCACAAAAGGATGGGAACGGGAGGCAGGTGAAGGAGGGAGGAAGACAGTCCTGAGACCCCCACACCATTCAATTTAGTAAACAGTTTCTAAAACACATTCCCACTCTCGAAACGTAAGCTGGGACAGTCTGTGTTTCCATCTCCAGCTTGTGTGTTTGGCTAATTATCACCTTCTCTAGGCCCGGAGACCCCAGAAGACAAGTTATTACACCAACTTTCATTGAGTAAAGAAGTCTAATCCTCCAGAAACTTCAGACCCACGTTTTAAAAACTGACCGGCGCCGTGCTGCAGCTCAATAGGCTAATCCTCCACCTGCGGCACCGGCACCCCGGGTTCTAGTCCCGGTTGGGGCACCAGATTCTATCCCGGTTGCCCCTCTTCCAGGCCAGCTCTCTGCTGTGGCCCGGGAGTGCAGTGGAGAATGGCCCAAGTGCTTGGGCCCTGCACCTGCATGGGAGACCAGGAGAAGCACCTGGCTCCTGGCTTTGGATCAGCGCAGTGCACCGGCCGCAGCGTGCCGGCCGCAGCGGCCACTGGGGGATGAACCAACGGAAAAAGGAAGACCTTTCTCTCTGTCTCTCTCTCTCTTACTGTCCACTCTGCCTGTCAAAAAAAAAAAAAAAAAAAAACTGAAACTCATGCAATCTAGAATCTAGATGCATCTGACCTGAATTGTCTGCCTGACTTCAGGGGTGCAGGAAGAGCTGACCAAAGGCCTGTTGAATGGCCGTTGAATGAACCATTCTCTCTGTGCTTGCTTTCTAGAAGATACAATGCATATAAGCATGTAAAATCCTATCCATCTTCAGGCTGTCATAGATTAATCATATTAATATTCTTCCTAACTTAACAAAGGATAATGTGTCCCTTTTTATTTGTCATTTCTGAATTCTAGAAAAGGCAAAACAATAGTGACAGGAAGCAGATCACAGGTCGCCCTGGGATGAGGGCTGGAGGAAGGGATTGGCCAGAAAGAGGCAGGGGAGACCTTTAGGATAATGAACCTTTTCTGATTCTTGATGTAAGCAGTTCACTGGGGTCAGTGCTGTGGTGCTGCAGGTTAAAGCCCCTGCCTGTAGTGCTGGCATCCCATATGGGCTCTAGTTTGAGTCCCGGCTGCTCCATTTCCAATCCAGATCCCTTCTAATGTGCTTAGGAATACAGCAGATGGCCCAAGTCCTTGGACCCCTGTACCCACATGGAAGACCCGGCTTCAGGCTGACCCAGATCTGGCTACTTGCAGCCATTTGGGGAGTAAACCAGTAGATAGATCTCTCTCTCTCTCTCTCTCTCTCTCGTTCTTTCTCTCTCTCCCTCTCTCTCTCCCCCCCCTTCCATAACTCCATCCCTCCTTCTCTCCTTCTTAAATAAATTTTTAAAATAACTACACCACATTTCATTATATGTAAATTATACCTCAATAAAGCTGCAAAAAAATGACACTTTTGCACAATCAAGTGGCATGACTTAAGCATATCAGCGAAAAAATGCTTCTGCTACACAGAAATGTAGATACTCAATCTGCCAAAACATCTTCATAACAGAGTACTGCATCAGAACATGTCAATAGTTCATGGAATAAATCCCCATCTGTCGGCTGCCCAAGATAGAGCCAGGTAACACTGAATATGCCGAGAGCATGGCTTCCCCATCATCCAGGAGCACTAGTTACTTATTAGCACTCAGGCACCAGCGCTCCTCAGCTGGGCAGTTTGTAGGGGAAGTCTGGCACATTAAGAAAAGAATGTAAGGGTTTTGAGTCAACTTGCAACATTCCTTTCCCAAAGCATGTGGTATTCTCAGAGATTCTCCCTTCCTAAATGTCCATATTTACTTGGCACATTATTTTTTTTTCAGTTTTTTAAGATTTATTTCATTTATTTGAAAGGCAGAGTGACAGAGAAAGAGAGGAAGAGACTGAGAAAGAAAGAGATCTTCCATCCACTGGTTCACACCCAGAATGGCTCCCAAGGAAGCTAGGAGCCAGGAACTCCATCAGGGTTTTTCCCACATGGATGGCAGAGGCCCAAAACTTGGGCCATCCTCTGCTGCTTTTCCAGGTGAATTATCAGGGAGCTGGATCAGAAGCAGAGCAACCAGGACTCAAACTAGCCCTCCAATATGGGTTGCCAGCACTGCAGGAGGCGGCTTAACCCACTGTGCCACAATGCTGCTGAACTCAGCAAGTTAAAAATTTGAGGCCCTAATATTTTTGTTTTGCACTCATTTGATTTATCTAGTGATAGCCTGTGGTGCCCAAAAGTCCTCTGGCAATCCATCAGATTAGTGACCTCAAAGCTGCTGATAGTAAAAGAAATTTCTCCATTATTGTGATCCCCGAGCGTGAGGCATCTAGGGTTGTGTGGATGAACGTACTGCCTCACCTTCATGAAAGATCTGTTGATGTTCCCTCCTCCCTGTCTCAGATCCACCCAGAAATGCCTGGGAAGAGAGGGCCCATGAGATACCTACATACTCCTTTTAATACCCTGCAGAACCATCCCAGAGGAGAGAGGACTGGGAAGACCCATGGCTGGAAGCTCAAGCTGGAAGCAGAAAGAGGAAACCAGAATCTACTGATGTTGCTCACTCAACACTTCAACAAACTTCCAAGTCACAATTTCAAGGATAGCAATTGCCATTTTCAATCTATTAACTTTTTTATCAATGATACCTGATGGGAAATTGGGTCTAGAAGCTACAGTGAGCACTCATTGATATTTACAACTCAATTCTCCAGTTTTTTAAGATTTTATGTATTTATTTGATTACATACAGAGAGGGGAAGAGACAGAGAGAGAGAGGTCTTCCATCCACTGGTTCACTCCCCAAATGGCCACAACAGCCAGAGTTAGGCCAATCCAAAGCAAGAAACCAGGAGCTTCCAAGTCTCTCATGCAGGTGCAGGGACACAAGAACTTAGGCCATCTTCTACTGCTTTCCCAGGTGTATTAGCAAGGAACTGGATCAGGAGTAGAGCAGCCAAGACTCGAACCAGTGCCCCTAAGGGATGCCAGCACTGCAGGCTGTGGCTTAACCTGCTGCACTACAGCACCAGCCCCTCCTCAGCTTTTTTACAACCGAATTTGCAACTCACAACCTTAGCATCAGTACCAGTTCCCCCCTAGTGAGAACACTGACTTTTCCTGTTTTCCCAACACACAGCCTCAGGCAGACCAAAGTTGTCAATGGACCTTTACTGAAGACTGGGGGATCCTGGAGGGGAGCTACAACACAAGAATCCACACAAAGAAGGCAGGGGTGAGAGATCACTGCCCCTAGAACCCAGGGAGTTCTGCCTCTGACAGCATCTCTCTCAGTCCTTGACACACATGCCACCATGTTCCAAAGCCAGCTTACTACCTCCATGGACAGAAGTTCTCCACCCAGACACCAACACCTGACTCCCTCCTCACCAGCTAGAGGAACCCACTCCTTGAACTCCCAGGCAGTTTCAAAACACTCTCTGCAGCAAGGCAACTTTCTCAGTGAAAGACAGCAACACCATACATAATTTTGAGTTGGCTCCTTCCTTATGGTCTCAGACTGTGCCTTCCAGAGCATCTGCCCTTGACCTTCACATAACCAAAGACACATTGAAATGTCCAAGTCTCCCACTTTGAAAGAAAAAGAGGGGAAAAAAGATGGTGCTCCCAGCCTCTGCCTCTGCAAAACAAATTGCTATTATCTTTGAAACAGAAAATTCCACTAACCATTAAGATTTCAGAACTATTGCACTCTAGACTCAGTATTATACTACTCAAATGAAAAAAAAAAAAAGAAAGAAAAGGGATGAGAGAGTCAACCAAAAATCTCCACGTGAGAGCATCAAGCCAGGCTTTGGTATAAAGAACTTGCAAGAAGGGATCATTTAAACCTGCAGTGGGCAAGGGGATGGGGGGGAGACATGATTCAGGTGAAAAAAACCATGGGAGCAAAGGGCAGAGCCCAGCAAACAGACCCTTGATAGCCGTTTCTTGGAAGACTGTGGGAGATTGATGCATCAGTTAGGTGTAGTCAGATTGGAAGTGAATAAGACCTCTCCCAGTGCTGATATCCACTCAGTCTATAAGTCTGGGAAATGATTTGAATTAGAATGTGTGCTTAACTTTTTCTGCTTAGGATGCAGTGAGGCATAAAGGCCTTTTATCTCTCACAGATGGTTAAATAGAACTCATTAAAATAAATTAATTAATTCTGAAAATATTAAAAATATAAATAAAATGTATTTAAAGTAATAAGCAATGGCAAGTTTCTCGAGGTTTTTTCTACAGTCCTACATCACTCTGAGGATGGCCAACTTTTGACATCAATGGTTGCCCTGAATCCTGTTATCAGAACAGAAAAAACACCAGCTGATAAAACTGCCTTACCTTTTTGTGGTGAAATTATAGGTGGAGGGGCCGGTGCTGTGGCATAGCTGGTAAAGCTGCCGTTCGCAGACCGGCATCCCATATGGGCACCGGTTCAAGTCCCGGCTGCTTCACTTCTGATCCAGCTCCCTGCTGCAGCCTAGGAAAGCAGTAGAAGATGGCCCAGGTCCTTGGGCCCCTGCACCAGCGTGGGGGACTCAGAGGAAGCTCCTGGCTCCTGGCTTCAGATCAGCACAGCTCCAGCCATTGTGGCCAATTGGGGAGTAAACCAGTGATGGAAGACCTCTCTCTCTCTGTCTCTCCTTCTCTGTCTGTGTAACTCTTTCAAATAAATAAATAAATATTTAAAAAAAAATAAAGTATAGGTGGAGTTGCTATTTGTTGTTGTTGTTGTTATTATTATTATTATTATTATTTCTGCTTCTTTATATGTTTCTGCATGTCCTAAATTTTTTGCAAGGTTCATGTACCATTTTATGATAAATTTTTTTAGAAAGCATTACTCCAATAAAATTTTTTAAATAAACTCTAAGGAAGACCCTAGTAATAGTCAAATTAAAAGGAAAGAATCTTCATTTAGCAAACAGCCCACTCTGATGGCACATTAGCTTAGACCCCCAGAGCTACCCTGTCTTTACTATGAAGGTAATTCAATCCCAAAGACATTATTTCTCAGAAACTACAGAGAATGGCAATGACCTAAAATCCAATGAGTTGTGTCTGTCCACCCTGTGCTCTAGCCACACTATCCTGACAAAGTTATAGAGGCTTACTATTCCTTTGGAAAATCATATTAAAAACCAAAGACATGCGAGACAGCACGGAGGGTTTCATTTCATGCGAGAGACACATCTTCTAGGAGCTAAATCGGGAAAGAAGTGGTGTCTGTGTGCAAAG